CAGCAGCAGCAGCAGCAGCAGCTGTGTATCGTGTGACCATCGCGGCGCTCGTGCATGCTAGGCTATCGCGCACTGGCTGCTGCTGCTGCTGGCGAGGATCAGGCTGCTTGATCAGGCTGCGTGGCGGTGTTTGCTCACGGCGTTTCTGATGACACAGGTGTGGCTGCGATGCTGCATGTGCTAGCGCGCTGCTCTACGTCAGGCAGGCATTCACGTCAAATATTGACGAAGCCCGCGCCCTCAAACGACGACGGTTTTGTGTGCGCTCAGCAAAACTAACCGCGCGCGCCGGGTCCCCGTCACGATCACTCCTGCCTGATCCGATCACGGGCCGGCATTCCTGCACCCGTTCACGGCCGCCGCGACAACTCAACTTAAAGTTAATGCGTAAAACAAACAGAGTTCGGCAAGGCCACAGCGAGAGCGCGCCCGCCTAGCCGCCGCGGCACCGCGCCCTCTAGCGGTGGTTCTTTCTAACAGCTACGCCTGCCTTCATTGTTTCAGGTGGGTGCGTCGCTGTTCGCCAGTAACATTGGCAGCGGACATTTCATCGGATTAGCCGGATCCGGAGCAGCTAACGGCATAGGAGTCGCCGTGTTCGAACTGAATGTGAGATTGCTGTTGTGGCCGTTGCGCCGTATTTATAATAAACGAATACCTCACCTCTGTGTTTTAACTGACGTGCGCGTGCGCGTTCTTGACAGACGAGAGAGAGAGAGAGAGGGAGAGAGTGTGTGTGAGAGAGAGAGAGAGAGAAAGAGAGAGAGAGAGAGAGTGTGGTGGATAAAGAGAAGGGGAATAGGATTTCTCTGGTTTTCAGGTGTTTAAAAATTTCCACTCTGATCTTCGCTGAAGAATTGTGGTTGTTGTCGAGCAGAGACGGCAAACGCGCATACCACGATTATAATTGGTTCTTGAGTTCAACTGATTTGCCGGAGTGTCTTACGAAACAACCGAGGGTCAGCGAAAGGGCACATTGCTCGTAGATATACATGGTAAAGACACGGCCGCGAGCGAAAGCACAGGCTAACTATATAACGACCAATCAGCAAACAACCGCCCACTCCGCAGAACCGTAATGTTATCAAGAGCGAATATTAGGCCTACCTTATTATATTATATTATTATCAGTAGTCGTATCATACCTTAATTATTATTAATATTGTATACCTCATTGTATTATTAGTTCTTGATATTATCGTCCACTGTCCGCACATATCGCGCCCTCCTCGCTAGCTCAGGCGCCATTTTGTATGTCGAGTGCGGGCCTGCCGTGCGTAATATAAATGCATAATAGGTGTCATACATCGTAACGGTTTGCAGTCGTAGGCGCTTCACCCATCCTATACACTACACTACACTACACTAGTAACACTACACACCAGCACCCGCACCTATAATTAATAAAATAAAAATATAACCTAGAAAAATACGATTAAATAGAATTTCAACCCTATTCAGAAAACGCACCTTGGCCAGAAATGTCTGCGGACTCAGTAAAGCAAATTTCCCCGGTTATCTGATCTCAGCCAATGTCACGATGACTACACACACGTACAGCGGAATTTTGAATATCAACATTCCATCGATAACACATATATTATTCACATCCGTACACTCCACTGCTGATTGTAGCCCCCGAGTAAAAAAAATATTAAGATAATTTTCTTACGATGTAAAATGTATAATGCGACAGGTCGCAGGCGTACAGTATATATCATGTCACATTACCAAATATACGCGTGCAGGGCTGCGGACGTGTTTGCTGTCGACTGCTAATTTCGCGTGGCTAGCACCTCCGCTCGCTCAAATAAAGCGCGGCTGTTTTGCACGTAAACACAGTTTGGCGAGGTTTGTTTGCCAAGCAGACACAGGGGCTGTGTACGTACGTACGGACGTGAGAGCTGGTACCGTGGTCGCTATACCTGGTCCGTGTTATAGCGGCTGTGTGTACGTACGTACGTACGTGAGAGTGTGTGTGTGTGTGTGTGTGTGTGTGTGTGTGTGTGTGTGTGTGTGTGTGTCTGCGCGCATACAATAATAATTATTCAATTATTTGTGGCGGGAACTCGTTGAAATATCTTAATTAATACCTCATCATTTACTTCTTTGCTAATAGCGTTACAAGAGGTCTAAGCAAGGATTATTTCTCCATACTTGCATTAACTTTCGATTCGACACCTTACGTCACTCGCGTCTAAACGAACAGACATGACGTCATCACCCAACAGCTCATCTTCATATATCGAGAGAAGCGCCTGGTGAATAGAGGCATGTGATAGGCTAATCATCAGCCAATGGTGTTCTCGTGAGGAATTCACGCGCTGCTATAGTAAATTGACACCGTTGAAGTTAATTAATTAATGAGTGAAGAAGTGCAATTAACAACCAACGGTGGCCAGTTGAGCCGCTGCTAGCTGGCAGAGCAGCTATAGTCCCGCATAGGTTATAATATTCTCGTATAGTAATCTCACTTAGTTTTATCAATAGCTATATATCATTTTTATGGTTTGGACATAAGCGAGTATATACCGTCTAGCTACGGAGGTCAATGCTTGTACAGTGTAGCATCAACAGGCAATGGCAGCGCCCTGGCCACTAATGGCTATATTTCTGCGCAACGTTATTTTTAGGTGATATTTTCGTTAGCGTGCGTGTAGGGGATTGGCGCATAGTGAAGTGTGGGGGTGAAACTACGGGTAGCTGTTGATTCAGGGTGGATCACCGGGCGTGCGGCTCTCAACCGTGTAGGTCTGTAGGCTGAGCGTGTTACCGTGCGGGTGCTAGCGGACCACACAGTAACGCGTTCACACACACGACTTTGTTTGTGGTAGGTCTAGGTGCAACGAAGGTTCACCGACGCGTTTAGTGAGCAACTCAGTGTTCACGTTCGAAGGCTGAGTGCAGAGAATGTTCATACACGTGTGTTCAGGGGAACTTCATGGATCGAGTGTTCACGTACGAGGGCTGAGTGCAGCGAATGTTCACACGCGTGTGTTCCGAGGATCATCCTGGGCGGGGTTGAGGAGATGATAGTAGAACGATGTAAAACGATGTTATGATGTACGTATGCATGTAACGATGTGTGTCATGTATTGATGCTGTGTATCGTATCAGATCAAGTGAGATTTATGTGTTAGGGCAATGCTATATATCATAGGCGTACTAAGGTATATAAGCGGGGACGTGTTGTTTCCACGTATGTAATCAATGATTTACCAATAGAAATAAATTATGAGTGGATCATGCCCGCATTTCTCCTACTGATACAAATCTCATTTGCGATAATTGCATGTACAACTCCCCGTTCGTTATAAAGAATTAACATCGAAGCCAAGTCACTTTTTACAACCCCCTCCTCACACGGGTGTTCAGCCGTCACCGCCGCCATCTTGCGAGAATCTAAAGTTCCAACGCACGCCCGCTTCGAAATAAACATGATTAAAAATAAAAGCATTCCGCGGCTATATCTCATCGCACACAACCTCGTACTTAATCGTGCTCGTGTATCTACATGCGCGGTGTATCCTTTGTGCGATAGCGCTCGCCGCCCCCGAAAAAAACCTCGCCGCCCCGTACGTCACCCGTGTAATCTCTTGTGCAAACGGTGTGTAGGAGTCGACTGGCAGGCAGGAGAGCAGCGCACCACTTCAGCGCCCATTTCTGGTGACGGGCCGGCTTGGCAGGACACGCGCGCGCGCGCCTGCACACGCCGTACGTGCTTAGTAGCGCAGAATGCTTCGCAGCTCTCAGCCGAGGGAACTAGCGTCCTCTAGGAGAAGCCTCACGCGCCGGAGGTCGGCCACGTCACACAGCGGCCGCTGCATCTATCTCTATCTTCTCTCTGTTTCATCTTACCTAACAGGGTTAAATCGCAATGAAATTTTAATACTGTTTGGTAAAGATGCGAATCGAGCGAGCATACGCAACGGGGGATGCCCGGAGTGACGGCACGGCGGACACGAGCTGACACGAACCCGCATCGAGACAACGTACGCTGCTATGAGCCCGAGGAATGCTCACTCTATGTAGATTGGCTCAGGTTAGCGCTGTTGTGTTAGAACTTAGAATCACCGAGGCTCCACAGCGTAAGGCCGCAAGCTTGTATCTATCGCTTAAAGTTTTCTAGCTAAGCAGACAGGGAGGGTTGTACGTTGTTGTAGATGTCTTTCTGAGTTAGTAAGGAATAAATGGCTTCACGTGAGAGGCTGTTCTTATGGACGAGTAGCTGGAGATATTTACCATCTCAGTATAGGTGCGTTACCGGACGACGTGTCACGATGTAAAACTACCATAGCGCCTTCAGCTATACTATATGCAGATATTTATATACCTGCAAATGCACCTATAAATATGGCATGGATATATATATATATATATAGGTGCGTCTCTTGACATTGATATCAGACTTGCTCTTGCTAGCGAGACGTAGCGATGATGGTGATATCAACATTCTTCTGCAACACTTAGAAGTCGTAAAAATTGCTTGTCGTAAAAAAGTTGTCGTAAGCATCATAGCTAGTATTGCAAGAATGCGGCCGTCGGTATCGACTGCACGTGACTTAGCTTGCATCGCACAACACGTGACAGTATATAGCGCGCGCGCCGACCGACCGAAGCAACATGCTGCGAATTTATACCCGGAAAATCAGCGGGACTCAAACGTACCGTCAGCAGAGTCGCACCGCCCTGGTTTACTGCGCTGATATTGCTTTTGCCGACGGCATTTTTGATGAGCAAATATTCGCACAACTTGTTGTCGCTACGGCATGTACTGCTTGCTGTACATGCAGCGGGCTAGGGGAGCGGCGCGTGGTAAGGATGTAGAAGCGTAGTCGTGGGGGTAACGGCGAGGCAGGCGGACGGTGTAACAAATACCGGATACCGACAGACGGGACTATACAGTACAATGCCATGTTTACAACGCCTCATATAAAACGGAAAACGACACGAGACCGGGACATTCCCCGGTGCGATTCGTACGCCGCACGAACCGAGTAACAACTATTCGCGCTGGCGGAACGCGAAACATTTCTATGTGAAACGCGCCGCAGTGTTGGTCGCACGAACGCAGTTGAAACGCACGTCAGCGCGCCGGCGCGGGGATCTCGAGCGCAAACAAACGCACGCGAAAAAACTCGACAGACGGGATTCTAAACAATAGGAGCGTATGCGATGTATGGCATCGCCAGTAACTGCGAGTCACGGTTGGTCGCTATACGGTGACACCGCACAGGTGCGTGCGTGCGTGCGTGCGTGCGTGCGTGCGTGCGAGCGTGCGGGCGTGTGTGCGGGCGTGCGTGTGTGCGTGTGTGCGTGCGTGTATTTTTTCGGCGACGAATTACAATGCAGTTGTTGTGTGTGTTTTGCGTAGGCGGACCTGTACGCCGGCGCTATCTTCATCGAACAGTCGTTGCACTGGAACCTGTACGCTTCGACCGCCATCTTGTTGTTTATCGCCGCACTATTCACGATCACAGGTACGTGAGCTTATACCGCATGCATGCATCACCTATTGTTAGATGCTTTCGGGGCGGCGGCGCAGTAAGCACGACAAGGGCGACTTTAGGGCGTTGCGGCTACGATTTCTGCTTCATTTACGAGAAAAATGATGGAGATGATGATGATAGCGCGCAATTGGGCAGACGATCCATGTAGAGATATCAGCGACGGATCCGGGAAGGGGAGAAGGGGGGAGGGAGGGTTAGAGTTAGAGTTATGAACTCCGGCTAAGAATTTATAGTAGAGAGCGAGTGCGACGAACGCGAGGCAGTCATTTATGAACATTCCAAGCGTCTGTTTTACTCACATCTTCTCTCTCCAATCTCCTGCGCGCTATACTGTATGCTTGCCAGAGATTACTGTCTGAAGCGCTAGAATGCGCCCCGCTGCGCGTTCTACCAGCGGCTCCTCATACCTCACCTTCTTTGTTGGCGTCTGCCTCCTCCACCTCTCCCCCAAGGCACATCCATGTATCTACCAATGTTCGTATACTCGTGATGCATTGTGGGTTGATCGGGTCTACGTTCAGCGATATAGTTCTATACGTTTATCAGTTTACGTTAAATAAGTGAAACGAAAAAAGCTCGCTACTCAGGATTGTGATATATTTGAGCTTCTCGCGGCGATATCACGAGTTGTGCGGGTAAAGCTGATTAATGTTGATCTAGGCCGACATTATGACGTCATTATGCGACCACACGCGCGCGGGTGTGTGGGTTTGCCAAGGAAGTCGATTTGCCAATTTATAATTAGCTCAAAACATTTTAAACGGCAAATTTTACATGCTTTTAAAATTTCTAGTCTAATTTCTATGAAAGTACTTCGCCGAGCGTATGACAGATCAATCGACGTCGGCGATTTTAATTACTCAACATTAATTGCACTAATTGATCATTAATTGAATATTTAATTATGACAACAACTTTGACTACACCGCCTGTTTTGTAATGGCTATGTATCAGCCGATCAGCGCTATGGCCGATTAGCGATAATGTAAATGTTATATCCCTAATATATATATATATTATATATACAATTTTCACACGATCGGCGTCACAGACACTTGAACCGTTCCAATAATAAATACTGGTAATCGTTAGTTCAGAGCCACAGTTCAATAGTAACGGTAAATAAACAGAAATGGTATTTACCACAAAAGTATTAATGTTTATGCACTCTCTATTGCATAACAATTCAACGTAACCGCTCTTCAAAAGCTTCTCTGCAGAACACAATCGCACCTCACGCACGCCGGTGTGCACAAACTCACGGAAAGATAGATATCATTATAAATATATTTAAATCTGTTTATTTGCTATCGTTTTATCGCTGAAGCGGCCCAAGTGTCCGTGGCTGTCTCGATTGCATTACATCATTACGTTACGCAGAACAACTCGTCCTTAACTATGATACACGAGTCACGAATGCATCATGCCACGAGATCCTCTCATCATGTCAGCGGTCACGTGTCAGCCGCACTGAAGGACGCTGGGAAAATCCAGCCTCGGTGACGTCACGCGACCGCGCTCTCGTCGTCCGCTTCTCTCGCGTGCAGCACATAGTTACAGTAAAACTAATGGAACTTATTTTGTTTCTTACAGGCCATCTTCGTGCTGATGATGCTGGGATGGTTATTCATTCCCGTCTACATAGCGGCTGGCGTAAGTCTCTCTTAGTATATCTCTTACTCAGCGAATAGTACCGACGGTATGTCAACCTAGTTTATCAACTACGTGGTGCATCTATCACAAATACTACGCGTGTGGGTGTGGGTGAGGCCATGGTATATGGAGCAGGAAGCCGTTGGTTTTTATTAGTTTTAGACATTGTTATCTTGTTATTTACCGAAACGTAAGACCATTATTGCCATCGTCATGGCCATCCTAATCACCATCATTATCGGCATCATCATCATCATCATCATCATCATCATCATCATCATCATCATCATCATCATCATCATCATCATCATCATCGTCGTCGTCGTAGCTGTCGTAATCATCCGCATTGATGCCAATCACTGACAAGTGACAAAAAGGCAGTGGGACTTTTTTTTCACGCGCGCAATTAATTCGGACAGTTCAGTGTATAGTATAGTGTTGGTAGCTGCAGTGTTCCGGCGAAACGAGGTTGCCGACGCTTTGACAGCAAAATCGTTTAGATTCTTCGCTGGTTTCAATGACCCCGTTTATATAACTCGTTTTAATTAATTCGTGTAAAAAAATTCAAGACGCCACATCAAGTAGGGAGAACGAGAGAGAATGATAGCGGCACAATGGTCGTAGATTGGCTTTCGAGATAAAATACCGCGTGATACCGGTTTGAAGTGTTTTAGATTTACGATGGAGTACATTTTTAAAATGCTACACACTAAAAGGCATTTAGGTTTCATGCGTGCAGACATCTGTGAAGACGGTTCGATGGGTAGGGCCGTAGGCAGTTACACAATCTGTCTTGTTCAGTCCATGTCAGTAACACGGTGATGACTTAATTCTTCGTCGAAATTCGTATCCACTCACTCACTCGCAAAGGCGCGCACCCATACTTATGCACACACACGCGCGCGCATACACACGCTCATGCGCGCGCGCCGAACGTACGCACGCACGCACATGCACACACACGCGCGCGCATACACACGCTCATGCGCGCGCGCCGAACGTACGCACGCACGCACATGCACACACACGCGCGCGCATACACACGCTCATGCGCGCGCGCCGAACGTACGCACGCACGCACATGCACACACACGCATGCGCGCGCACGCACGCACGCGCGCGCGCG